ATGCTGTTCACTGCAACTGGGGGAAACCTTGCTGTGGCCCCAGGGCCACAGATCTGCAGGGTTAAGTATGACAAACTCATGGCATTACAAGGTTTTCCCTGGGCCAGCCAGTGCACTGGGCATCTCCACTGCAATCCAGTGACTCCCAAAGCCAGCGACAGCACTGGGAAAGAGCATTTGGAAGCCTGGGTGGCGAGTCAGGTGAGGGGCAGCCCTGTCTGGCACAGCTGTGTAAAGTATGTCCCTCTGGAGCTAAACTTCCAGCAGATCCCACTCATTGCCTTCATCAGGTCTGATACCAAGGATGTCACACAGAAGCACAGCAACATACTTGAAGTTTACTCAAGCTAAATTGTTTAGCTGCCCTTCAAGAAATGACTGAAAATGCACGTCTGGAAAATCAAGGATGAGAACATTGCTATGCATTTTGAATAAATAAACTGATCCTTTACAAGACATGGTGGTAATGCCCGTGGGTGGAACTGCTATGGCAGAGATGTGGACTCTCATGAATACAGATTTTGTAACTGCAATAGAAAAATTGCAAATAAATGATGCATGCACATGATGATCTGTTTGTATTACACTGAAGTAAGGGGAATTGAGGCAGCAACCTAGATTTACTGAGCTGCCTCAGTAAACCCAGGGCACAATCTACCACATGATTCCATCACCCAATTGTGAAAGCTCAGCAACTTGGTTCCTGCTTGTTGCTGCTGTTGGTTGACAATTTTGAGGTTTTTCTATCTTTGCCAGCCATCTCTGCCTCTCTTAGCTTCTATCCCCAGGGTGTAGATCAGGCTAAGTGTTTACAAAAAGTTCCATCATGATTTCAGGACCAGTGGCAGCCTCTCATGTACTGGAAATAATTCTTCAAGTTTGGCCATAAGTAACCTGAAACAACGTGCTTGATAGGAAATGAAATTATCTGATATAAATGCAGGAAACTCATTTTGTCTGTGCCAGACTCAGCTGCTACAGAAGCACATATTTTTGAAGTAAAACGATATGAGTCCGAGTGTTGGAAGGCACAGTAACATCCCCAAGTTCAGTTTCTGCTTTGCTTCACTCATTCTACTAAGCTGCAGAATAGATTCTGAGTGTTCAAACACATAGGGTGTGAATTGCAGTAGAAGTCTGTAAAAACTTAGTTAACTGGGGTGTAAAAAGACAAGGAATGTTTTTTGGCAAAATACACCTCTAAATATGTATTTGAAGCATCAAAGAAACCAAGAAGACAAAGATGAAGAGGAAGAAGAAGAAGAAGAAGAAGGAGGAGGAGGAGGAGGAGGAGGAGGAGGAGGAGGAGGAGGAGGAGGAAAAAGAAGAAGGAAAAAGAAGAAGGAAAAGAAATAACAACAAAAAGTAATGCCAATGTGTGGGGTTTTGTCTCCAATGCCTCTGCCTCATTTAGAAAGAAAAGGGTCAAAATTTGCAGAAATGGAAGGGTCACTGTGGAAAATGGACTTTGCCCCAAGGCACTGATGGTGTGTCTGGCCCACTATGAATGTCCAATCCATGGCAGAGCCTGGAGCCTGTTGGAGGCTGAGGCCAGGACCCAGGAGTTGAGGCCCCTGGGGCTGAGGTGGCAGAGTCTTTGCTGCACCCTGGTGGCTCTGCCTTATTGGGCCTGCAGGGCTGCAGCATGGATGCAGTGGTGGAAAAGGGTGTAAGGCAGGAGGTGCTGGGCTCCTCTGCATGCTGCACACTCCCTGCTTGGCCTGAGCACAGGAAGATTCAAGTACTCCTTGCTGGAAAAAGAAACTCTGAAGAAGATTCTGGGTGTCCTCTACCAGACACAGACAAACACAGTGACTTCTCAGGTAGGGAGGGCAAGACAAGCACAACAACGGGATTCACATGGCTTCATGTGTTGGGGGTTTAAAAGTTTGTCATGAATGATGTGTTGCCTTTCTGAATAAAAAGACTCCTTATTTTATATATCTATAAAGTGAAGCTTGAATGTTCTTCTATATGCATATGCTAATTAAATATAAAAGAATATTAAGTCATCCATTTCCACTCACCTATTCAAGAAAATACCAACTACTTATTCTTAAGTGAATTGAACAGAAGAGAAGTAATACTGAATGGAACACTATGAATAATGCTGTGGAAAATAAAATGGAAAAACCCCAAAGGCATCCCTCCCAGGATGAGAGTTCTGCCATTGACCAGCTCCTCTCTCCTGTCCTCACCTGCTGTGCAGGCCTGTGTCTCTTCACTGCTGGGTGGAGAGAGAGCCAGGACAAGCCCTCTTCCATCTCAGGAAAGATCAGGGACATGGCCTAGGACATGGCCTTTTTTCAGCATTTTCAGTGGCTTTAATTTATAATTAACTCAGCCGCTGTGCTGTGGAACATTCAGGGTTTCTAACTGTCCACAACTTAACTGGTTAAGAAGAGAATATGGTGTCTGTCAATCTCATTTTATATAATGACTTTTAGAAGTGGTATTTCTAGGTTAAATGTGTATAAGGTGAACTTGAGGGTCACAGATTTTTCACTTTAGGCCTCAGCATAGAGTTAGAGCCTAGTAGAGGAACACTGAGTCTGCTCAGATCTATGTGGAGATCTAAAGTCAGAGAGATGGTCCAGGCAGAGGTGCAGGACACCATGGCACCTAGCAGGAACCATGGCTAAAAAAGGCCCAGGTGCAGGCCACCTCATCCTTGAGTAAGTTCTCAGGAAAGCATCACACACTGCACGCTGGAAAGGAGAGAGCTGGAATGGTTCCAGAGCTGCTCCCTACATGCCTGAGGCCCCCTCTCTCACTCAGGGGAGCTCTGAATGAGAAGGTCAGTGTGTTACAGAACCCAACTTGACTGAATGTTTTCCACCCAGGTGCAGATCTGAACTGCCACATGTGGACTCACCATAGCTACGGAGCAGGACAGGTGTTTACAGGGAGCAGGTCAGGAGATGGGGACACTGCAGGCAGGTCAGGGTATGAAGCCTTAAATAAGAGACCACGCCCTCACCATGCCCAGTTTCCTCCAGCAGTAACCACACCCCACAAGAATGTGCATTAAATCTGAGTAACTGAAAGGAGTTACTAACAAAATTCTACATTATAGAGAAAGTTTGAAGATACAAAATTAAATGGTAGCATCTGTAAGTAAAATGAGATGTGACCCTTAATGGATATGTGGTGTCCATTGATGTCCCCCAACCACATGCATCAGAAGGAAATAGTATGATGAACAGAGCAATAAGGAGCACAGGCAATGTGTAAACATCACAGCTCCTTAATAACAACAACAAAGCTGGGATACAATTAGTGCACTGGTGAATTTTGTCCAGTTTGTAACAAAGAATAAATACTGATTGTTTTTATATTCTTCAATCATGCTGAAGGAAAAACCACCACCAACTTCTTTTAAGTGACAAAGTAATCCTGAGAATGAAGCCAGACAATAATGTGTTAAAAATAATATAAATGAAAACACTCTGTTGGCTAATATTCCTACCAAACACAAAAGTATTCAGCTAAATGTTTGCCACGTTAACTCACCAGAATATTCAAAATTAACCAACATGATCAACAATGGGCTCAATCTCAGTGGTTCAAGAATGGTCCCTCTTGCACAAACTATCTGTTTCCACTGGTTTTAACATGTTGTATCTTACTATATTTTACTATATGTGATAGTATAAACAAAATTTTTATAGGCAAAGAGATAATATAGAAACTGTTGTTCATTTTCTGTTAACTGGTTCTAAATACCCTGTAATTCTTTCATTCTCTTGAATGGCTTCACACTGTCTTGATATGCTTGATGCTATAGTATACGAAGTTATACTCAAATAATTCAAGGAATGAGGCAATATGGTGACTGCTACTATGTTAGATTATCTGGGAGTGAAACACAATGATGCTTAAATTGTTCCATTCTGACTAGTGTAGTTTTATTACAATGTCCACTTTTATCTCAATCTTCACCATTTTTTTTAAAATTAAACTACTTTTTCTTATTTTTTTTCAATTAAGGGAAAACTAAATTAAAAAATAGCAGGATATAGTATAGTAACTTTTTTGCTTTCCTATTAACCTGATTTGAATCGCAGCATTGCTCTCCCCATCTTGTTCTGTGTGATTTTACTATATTCTATTTTGTTTGATAGTATCAAGTTTGAGGGTATAGGTAACCACTTCGAAGGCAATAAGATTTACTATGATGCCCATTATGGTTTGACTATTATCTTCTTTTGAAATCTTGTAAGGTCTCCAATGTAGGTTTTATTGGTCTTGTTCTGTACTGTTTTGATCAATTCTATTATACCTGATGATATAGGCAACTCTTTTTAAAAATAGCAAGAGGCACAATGGTAACCATTTTTGATCACCTGATATTCTATTTTTGCATCATGTACTATGCCCATTATTCTGTTCTAACTGACTCTGTTTTGTTTAGTCATGTCAGGATTTATTTTCTTCAAAAATTGTAATAAGAACAGTGGGAATAAAAAAAACCCAAAAAGTGTAATTGTTATTGTAAAAAAGAGAGGAAAGGAAGGTGGTCTAAGGGATGTAACCGTATGCTTCAGTGTGTAGGATGGAAAACCATATTACTGAGCTTTTGTTGGATCATTGAACGGAACTTTCTGAAATCTCACTGTATGAATGTTTACTTTATATGCTTTAATTTTATAATTTGGGCAACTGTTTCTAAGGTGACAATATGTAACCTATTAACTAGTGATTTCTTATTGAATTATTACTTGTACCCTCTTACTGCTTTGTTTTTTATTTTCTTTTTTCTCTTTAATTAAAAAATAATCAAATCTGGAATGGATATCTTTTATTTATTTATTTATTTTGGCTCTGGAGATCAAACTCATGACCTCACACTTGCCTGACAGGTGCTTAAGCCCCTGAGTTAAATCCCCAGTCCAGCAATAGATATCATTTATATCTTGTCATCTTAGAGTAGTTGCCTCTTCTCTTGAACTTGATACCAGCAAGCATACCAAATGTGAATAAAATCAGTCAAGGCCAAATATCATTCAAACAAACCAGCTTTAAAGAAGATCAGTCATAGAAGACAATGTAAGTAATATAGCATTTCAGCTTTAATTAATAGGAAATTAAGGATAGTTACCATGGTATAACCTGTTATTTTGGGATTATCTCTCTGTGCCCTCAACTCTAATGAATAGACAGACCACAGCAAAATATAACCAAATTAAACAGAGCAACAAGACTACTGTAGTTTTTAAATCCTGATACACTTTTAACAATGTCCCCTGCCTTTTTTTAGGAAATTCCTCACCTTTCTCCTTCTCAGGATACTATTATTGACTGTTCAGAGTGACATTAGGCTAGTCTCTTATGTTCAGTTTCAGCATACATAAAGATAAAGACAGCTACTACGAAGAGAATGAGAGATATTATCGTAGTCACTGAATTCGCCAAAATCAGTCTTGAAGACCAAAAAATCCTGCATCATCCTGTAATTATTTGATTAGTTCTATAATGTTCAGTATATATTCAATGTGTGTGAAGATGGGAACAATTATTTGGAAGAAATCTAGAGACAGTAAGATAGACAGTGAACATCTGCAGTGGACTTGCTTTGAAATCTGTGTTTCCTTAATTGTTTCCTTATAAAAAGTTCTGTTCTGTTTTGTCATGTTTAACCTTACCATCTTTAAGAAAAAAAAAAGTGTGCAAGATAGATAAGCATACTAATAACTTTTTGTTGGATCATTGAGGTGAACTGTTGTTAGTGTCATTATTTGAATATCACTTTGTAGGCTTTAATTTTGTAACTTGAACAACTACTTCCAAGGTGACAATATGAAACTAATCAACTAATGATTTCCTATTGTTTATTTTTCTGAAATTCTGTATTATTTCTACACTTTTTCTTTTTTTCTCTTTAAATAAACAACATTACAATTCAGCAAAAAATATAAAATTTAAGTTTTAAAGACAAAATATTATGTACATAGACACTATGCATACTTGAAAGTGAAAAGTCCATTTCAGTTTTGCATGTTTAATTACAAGATGCCATGTTGAAGCACAAAGACACTTTAAAAATCTAGAGAGGTACAAGTGATTAACTGAAAACCATAAAACATGTGCACTTGAGTAGAGCTCCACTTCATGTTTGTCATTTCTGGAATATTTGTGAAGAAATATTGACATCTATCTTCTGTATTGATTATTTCTTCAGGTCTCCTTGGGATTTTTAAAGTAAACTTAGATCTAAAATGTCTGAACAGTGACGCTTTTTCTATTTAACAAGAAACATGGATTGCCATATTTCTCACATTGTTAATCCACATTGGATCTGTGACCAGTGAGCTCTTTCAGATATGTAACAATGATCATGTATGCTGAGAGCATTCCTATAACATATAGGATTTATCTCTTGGATGACTTTCTTCATGTATTTCACTTACAATCTTGCTGCTGAAAGTGTCTCCACTTGCTTACATAGCCAGTGGTTCTTCCCAGTGTGAATTCTTTCATGTATTTTGCAATGACTGTATGTGGTAAAAGCTTTGCCACATTGTTATATACATAGGGATTCTCTCCAGTGTGAAGTCATGGATGTATTTTACAATATCCATGTGTGGTGAAAGTGTTCCCACATTCTTCACATACACAGGGTTTCTCAACAGTGTAAATTTTTTCATGTATTTGACAATGAGCATTTCTGTTAAAACCTTTCCCACATTCCTTACATATATAGATTTTCTGCCCAGTGTGAAGATTTTCATGCATTACACAATATGTAGTGTGCTCAAACCATTCTCATGATGCTTATATACACTGGTTTTAACTTGAGTGTGAACTTTCATGTTGCTTACAATGTCTATGTAGGGTAAAAGCTTTTCCACATTGCTTACATACATAGGGTTTCTCTCCAGTGTGAATTCTTTCATGTATCTTAAAATCTCCCCATGTGTTAAAAGCTTTCCCACATTGCTTACATACATAGGGTTTCTCTCCAGTGTGAAGCCTTTCATGTTTTTTACAACCGGCCCATGTGTTAAAAGCTTTCCCACATTGCTTACATACATAGGTTTTCTCTCCAGTGTGAGTTCTTTCATGAACCTTAAAACCTCCACATGTGTTAAAGGCTTTCCCACATTGCTTACATACATATGGTTTCTCTCCAGTGTGAATTCTTTCATGTATCTTACAATATCCCTGTGTTTTAAAAGCTTTCCCACATTGCTTACATACATATGGTTTCTCTCCAGTGTGAGTTCTTTCATGAACCTTAAAACATCCACGTGTTTTAAAAGCTTTCCCACATTGGTTACATACATAGGGCTTGTCTCCAGTGTGAATTCTTTCATGAACCTTACAATTTGCACGTGTGCTAAAACCTTTCCCACATTGCTTGCATACATAGGGCTTGTCTCCAGTGTGAATTCTTTCATGAACTTTACAATTTGCACGTGTTTTGAAACCTTTCCCACATTGCTTGCATACATATGGTTTCTCTCCAGTGTGAATTCTTTCATGTTGCTTATAATGTCCAGATCTGGTGAATCCTTTTCCACATTGCTGACATACATAGGGTTTCTCTCCAGTGTGAATTCTTTCATGTTCTTTACAACATCCATGTCTGGTAAAACCTTTCCCACATTCCTTACATACATAGGGTTTATCTCCAGTGTGAAATCTTTCATGTTGCTTACAATGTCCAGGTTGGATGAAACCTTTTCCACATTGCTTACACACATAGGGTTTCTCTCCAGTGTGAACATTTTCATGTATTTTAAAATGAATTTTACTGCTAAAAGCTTTCCTACATTTCTTACATATATGCGATTTCTGCCCAGTGTGAAGGTTTTCATGGGTTGCACAATAAGTACCTGTGCTGAAAGCTTTCTCACAGTGCTTACATTTATAACATTTTCCTCTGACGTGAAGACTTTCATGTACTTGACAATATGTATGTGTTGTAAAAGCTTTCCCACACTGATTACATATGTAGGGTCTTTCTCCTCTGTGAATACTTTCATTTTTCTTACAAATTCCATGTATAGTAAAACCTTTCCCACATTGCTGACATACATAGGGTTTCCTTCCACTGCAATATTTTTCATGGATCTGAACACTGTGTTGTGTTTCTGTTTCTTTCACTTTCACATTACCTTCTCCAGTACCAAGGAATACTTCTTTACACTGATTCCAAGATGTATGTCCATAGGATTTCCCTAACTTGTCATTTCTGTAAAGAAATAAATCACGTATAGGATTTATAACCATATTACTAAGTTTTTGTTGGAAAGTTGAACAAAATTGTTTGCAGTCTCGCTGTTTGAATCCCCACTTCATATGTTTCACTTTTGTATCTTGATTAACTATTTCTATGATCAGCATATGTAATCATCATCTTGTGATTTCTTACTGTTTATTTTCACTTTGAAAGTAGTATTATTTCTACTTATTTTGTTTTGTTTAATCTTTCCTTATATTAAATTTTAAAAAAGAAAAATTCACAGTGAAATGGGTCTTCATTAATGACTGCATTAATGGCAAGTTCTGTTTTTAATGCCTGCTAAGAAATTCTGACCATGAAGCAACAGAATGGCCTTGTAAGACATGTTGAAAACAACCATTCCCAAAAGACTGGTACACATTTGGAAATCTTAAAATTTGGTACCTTTTGAAATGCAGAATCTTTATCTTCACTTTGGGCATGGGTACATATGTGTATAACATACAGATCATTCTGATATGTTTCCCCATCACAATCTCACTTCTGTCCTTAACCTGTAGTTCCCTTTTCCATATGGTCAGTCTTACTTTTCTCTATTAACTCTCTTTCATTTCATTCCACAATTTATATTTTGGTTTCTCATCTAAAAGTAACCCTGTGACCTTTTAGGTTTTATAGCTGAGCTATTTTACTGAATTGATGGGTACAAGACCCATCTATATCTTATGGCAAATGACATTATATTATTTACTTTTTGACATTATATGACACATTTTTTTTCTTTTTCATGCTGGGAATGAATAACAGGTATTACCATAAAATCTATAGCTTTATTAAAATCTATTTTAAGAGATTTTTCACTGATCATTAAGCTGTGAAGTTTGAACTTGAATTTGCCATTCTGGAAAATCTGATTTCTAGTGTCCTGGGTTTACAAGAATGCACAATCACAGAGAGTCTATTAACATTTTCCTTCTCCACAAATATAGGGATAGACAGCCTAGCTTCATGGCCTGATCTGTTATACCTTGATCTGCTTTGTATGTGAGTAAGCATGTATCAGTATTTTATGTGGATTTTGAGATTTTAAAAATATCCAGGACAAGTATGAGGGGATCAATTTCTAAAGACAACTGCATACTGATATTCAAAATGAGTGCACTAACATCCCACCAGCCTACTAAGAATATTAATCAGAATCGCTGATTCTCTAGAGCATGGCTTGCAAACATGAGCACTCAGTTTTATTTCAAGTTCTATTGCAATCTTAGCAATTTTTAGAAAATGAATGTGTTGTATTCACATGTATATATGGGTAGAAAAACTGAATGCAGAATGTCATAACTCAAAGGGTATGCCTTTCGTACACATCTATATGCAATGTCATACATTTTCATGATTTAATTCCCTCATATATACACTAGCTTATACATCTTTGGAGAATATTACTGACAAATTGAATGGTGCCTCATTTCTTTGGTGGTCATTTTTCTGCTGACTCACTAATTACTCAGGAACATTCCTTCTCCTTGTGAGTACGAATTACCTTAAGTATCTCCAGTAAATTTTGCATTCTTTTTCTGGTTCCTGGATATCCCCAAGTCCTCCTGAATTGTAGACACAGAAATACCAGGACTCATTAGAGTAATACATACAAATTAATAGATTTTGTTTAGATTTATGATATAATGTGACCATATAATGTGAGCTATTTTTAAAAATATTTTCACATTCTTTTTAATGAAACAGCACTGATATGCAACAAACAATATTCTGACAGCATGAGTGCCAAAAAGATTTCATCCTTACCTATTGCAGCCATGTTTCTAAAGGTTTCGCCCATCACATCTCTGTAGAGGTTCTTTTGGGATGGATTCAGCAAAGTCCACTCCTCATTGCTGAAGTTCACAACTACATCCTCAAAGGTCACCGCCTCCTAAAGAATCATACATATATTTCTCAAAGGAAGGTTGAGACCCCAGGTTTGGGATATCTTAAAATTCTCTCCTACAAATCTGTATCAAAAGCAAAGTGTTGTGGTGCATATCTATAATCCCAGCACTCAAATGGTGGAGACAGGAAGGCATCAGTGAGGTCAGAGCAATTCTAGGCTCCATAGGGTGTTCAAATCCAGCTGATATACATACAGAAAGCTCGTCTCAAGAAAACAAAACTAAACTAAACAAATAAAGCCAAACAAAATAGCTGAATGAAGAGTGATTTGTTCAAATTTAAATCCATGTATTGGGCATTAATTTTGTGTCTATACACATTTTTGAAGACAGCAAATTTGATGCTAGATTGCAACTCACTGCTAATGTAACATCCAAATGGGAGCACTGATTCTTGTGCTGAGTCATGGCAAGACTCCCTGTGCACTGCCTCTAAAGCAGAGCTCACAGTGAGAAGCCTGCAGGACCAGCAACCACAAAGCACAGAGGCAGATAAATATCTCATCAATTGCCTGGGAAGCCAAACAAGGACCTCCCTTCCCTGGTCAGCGGTGGTGGTTTGGCAGACTGCAGCCCTTCTAGGGGGAAAACCAACAGCAGCTCCTGAGATGCATGCCATGCTGGAATTTAGGACACTATGAAGCCAAGCAAGCACCATTTCTCCCTGGTAAGCAGTGGCAGTCTGGCAGACTGCGGGCCTCCCAGGTGGAGAACCAGCAGCAACTTCTGAAACCCATGCCATGTTGGAACTTAGGGCACTGGGAAGCCAAGCAAGCACCTTCCCTCCCTGGTGAGCAGTTGCAGTCTGAAAAACTGCAGCCCTTCCAGGGGGAGAACCAGCAGCAGCTTCTAAGATCCATGCTATGTTGGAACTTAGGATGCTGTGAAACTAAACAACCAGCCTGTCTCCCTAATAAGCAATAGTGAACCTACTGATGCACCACCTAGAATCAATCATCCCATTTCCCTACCCCTCTTCTCCTGTCACCCCATATTAGCAAATTGTAAACAGAAATCTGAGTGTCTCCTGGGAAGTAGACCATAGAAAATAAGGGGGGCTTCCTTCTACTATCTCTTTGAAGGAATTTTTATTATTGTTTCACTCTGTTCTGATTAATGGTACGGCTCTATTCAATATTCTGTTTTGATAAGTTCTATAATGTTCTGTATTTCATCTCATTTTGATATATGTGATTAAAGAACAACTATCATAAAGATAACAAAATATACTGTGATACCTATTACTGTTATCCCAGTAAACTTTTGTGAAGCTGTGTACCAATTTCACTGTGTGATCTTAGTTGGCCTTATGCTGCCTTGTTCTGTTGTATTTTACCAATTTCAAAATTAAATAAAAAATCTCATCAATCACTTTGATAGACTACAGATGATGTCTGTTCATATCTCATTTAGGCCAATGAGTACTTTGTTCTTAATATACTTAAGCAGCATTTTGAAACATTAATTAGGTTTCATGGAACAAAACATAAATAACATCAAATATGGTATATAAATAATAACTCAAGTGTTAGTGGAAAACAGTAGTATTTTAAAAATATGCATATACAATGAAACGAGGCCCAAGCTGTAAATTATACCTCACTGTCACCAAGTGATCACTTTCAATTCAAATATAAGAAATATATCTTGGGAGGCTGGTCAAGGATTTCTTCCTTGAATTTGGGGGTATCCTAAGTTACACAGCTGTCCAAAATAGACAAATCTTGAGTGAGACACTGAACAGACAAAGTGAAACTTAAAAAGAGACTGCATAAGACACCTTTGGTTTGTTTTAAAAAATTATAGGCATACAATACAGAAAAATTCCAACAATACTCAACACTTTCTGAGAAATAATGTGGATATCTTCCATACTACACAGAAAATATTTTCATAGTTGCGTATTTAGCTCAGTGGCATGAACGCCTGCCTGGAAATCATAGGTCATGCGTTTGATCCTTGGTACAAAAAAATTGAAAATTTCACCTTCATGACACTGGGGCATAATTAGAGATAACCAAAATTAGATCTCAAGTATGGAACACAAAAATAATGCATTGACAGGGATGTGGAATACTGATTGTTTCCAGACCTGGTGTTGATCAACTAAATGAAGCAATCAGAACCCAACTTTACTTCATACTTACTCTAAGAACTACCTGACTTTCAGTTGTATGTCCTCTGTTGTATGTCCTCTGTTGTATGTCCTGCTGTTTGCTGCCTGCATCCTGTCAGTGACTTCCACATCTTTTCCAAACTCCTCTGATCCATCCTAAGCAGAAAGCCCTTCATGCCTAACTATTGATATCACTGCAAAATTTCTATTTAGGTCTTCTCATTTACACAACTTAGATAAGTCCATTGTAGAAAATTTCCATATGTAAACTGTCTATGAACAACCAAGCTACTAAATCAGCTCTTAATTCAGAGAAAACACCCCTATTCTTTACATTCAGAAGGATATCATGTGTATATGTCCATGCAAATGTCTAAATTTTGGCATTTTTTGATGAGAATTTAACAGGTAGCCCTTTCTGGAATTTGTCCTTCACACATTTTTACCCTGTCCTTGATAACACTTTCATATTTGCTTCATTTTTCTCAGACTTCAAAACTCTATGGCTATTCTCACAAACCTTGTCTGTGAGTGGAGGTGCCACCTAAATAATTAATTATGATCAGAAATTATTTTGTACTGATCTGTATAATACACAGGAGTTCACCTGTTGTTTGGGAAGCCTTTCTCCACTGAGGCACACTACTACACATCTCTGAATTCTCAGGACCTTTGCCACTACCCCTCATGAGGATGGAAATATGAGAACATACTATAAATTGAGGAGATCACTTTAAATACAAAAACAGCCCAAGTTAAGGTGAGCCATTGTGGCTATGAGGCCCTGCATTACAGACATTAATAAACTCCGGACATTCTAGATCTGCTACTCTGAGGAAAGAGAGCATAGACCTAGCTCATTACTGCTCTACAAGCTACAAATCATCATAGTCAGAGTCATCCAAAGCTTCTTCCAATGCCTAAGATGATGGAGTTACCAGGCTAGCAATGAATTTCAAAGATGATACATGACTCTACTGCTGTCATAGTGAAGCCAAGGGTACTGGGGACCCCAAATCACCCTTGCCAACAGCAAGAGGCAAAAGGGACAGTGAATGACCCATGGTCAATCCTGGAGGGCCACAGGAGCTGAAGCTAACTAAATACCTGAGGCTCCAGACACCAGAACTACTCCTAAATACTTGTAACTGATTTCATCCAATCCACCATATTTCTGGGCTCCCATCTACAACCTCACTATTCCTTGGTTCCAGGATCTCTCAGGATCCTTGCTAATCAGGCCAAAGGCATTGAAAGTACTAAATGAGATCCAGCAAGCATTTTGCTACCACTATTGTACTCAGAACAGATAAATCATGCTGAGACATTGGAAGAGACCGAAGTCACAGCCAGCAATGGCCCGCCTGATTGGAGAGTTCATATAGCCTGCCCCTTCATCACTGATTGACTCCTGCTCTACTGCCCTCCTTTTGACTCAACAATAAACAGGGAAAGGAACCCCTCCCTGCAAAAGAGGATCCCAAAAGATAGACTGTAATACAGAGACTTCTGGAGCTGCCATTCTTCTACAGTGGTGAACTCAGCTCGACAGAGGAGTGTTTGTACTGAAGAGCATTACCTCAGGCTTTTAATTTGCAAATCCATTTTATTTCAAGGAAAAAAGAGCACATCAACTAAAATATAATTTCAAAACATGTCAATCAGGGGGCAACACTGGTATATACATTGCACAAATCTCATCCCCAGATCATTCACCCAGAGCACAAGACATCTCAATTCTACAAAAAGTACTGTTACAGACACCTGAGTTACTTAAATGCTCTTGGCATGAACCAAGGCTAGGTCCTCCAAAGAGCCCATGCAGGAGACCAGACACCTTGCAACTATGGTGAAGATTGACACCTCATGCTATGGGCCAACGCTCAAGACAATAATAAGCAAATTCATCCATATTCTAAGGATAGATATTCTAAATAGTTCCCTAGCACTCTGAGGAAGTCAGGAGTCACCATTCAAAGAAATGTATCCTTATCCTAAAGAGTGACATTCTAAACAGTTCCTATCATACTGAGGAACTCAGAAGTCACCCTCCCAAACCCCTAAGGGAAGAGTCACAGCTGCCTAAGAATGCCTGCTTTCTATGTGACTCTCTTCCCCCTTTGTTCCCAATATAAGCATCTTTACTTGAACTTAATAATCCTATTGTGTACCATAGCTCTTTCCCATCTTATGCTCATCTGCATTGTGAGTTCCTAGTTTTCCCCACCTTAAACTCACCTCACCACACGATTTTACACTATAAAGGTCCGTAGAAAGGACAGAGTTTGGCAACCTGCTCATGACCGCTTCCCTCTCTCAGGCAGCTTTCTTTCTCTCAGTAAGTACATTCTTTATTTTGATTTCTTCATTCCAAGCAAAGGATGTACTTCAAAGTGTTTTACCCTAGAAACAATTACAGGACATCATGGTGGAAGAATGTGAAATCAGGGATGCTTACTCACATGGCCACTTCCTCTTTTCTCCTTAATTACAAATTCCTCTTTTCTTTCCCAGGGGCCTAAAGAAAATTCCTGTCAGCTCTCGCATGACATCAATCTTCCCTCCAAGTACCACATCCAGTCAAAGGTCACATATACCCCATAACCCCATAGTCAGTCAGCAAAAAAATGCCAAACCCTTAGGGGCTGTGGGCTCCTCTCCACATTGGTTAAGTAAAAGGCCACTTTTACATTTCTTATATTCTGCTTCTCTACTGTGCTAATTTATCTCCTCAGTAATTTCAGTAATCTAATCCATTTTAAACCTATCTCATCACAGGATTTTATTCTATAAAATCCCTAGAAAAGACAGAGTCCTTTGCTACCAGCTCAGAACCCCTCCTGTTTCTCCCAGACAGAAGCTTTCTGATAGGATTTTTGGTGTAGTAAAGAAGAGAATATAAAGTCAAAATGGCCTTTATTCTAAGAATATGGAGAGAACCCCATGACCACTGGGCGTCTTGCTTTTTCTTCTGGAAAAGTGTGGGTGGCATACAAGTAGTTTTTGACTTGGTTGGTGGTTAAAGTTGTCATTGCTGATATGCAAGTAGCTGATTGAGATTCCTTCCTTGCCACAGGTACCTTGAATAGGGAAAAGGAAAGTCACTTCAAGGTAAAAGTCACCCGGTTCCACCTTGACTTCCAAAATATCCTATTTAGAGCAAAATACTTTCACTTTTTCTCTCTCAATAAATATATTCTGCTCTTCAACTCTGTTGTTCCTAAAGTTCATTCTTGTGTTTTAGAGAACACACGCTCATACCAGACATAGAAGGTCAGGAATTTCATTCCACTTTATCACGGAATGGCTGCCTGTATTTCTAACTAACTGAGCTGCCTGTAACTTTAAGAATTGTTTATCAATTTGACTTGGAGAAATTGTAGGAAATAAAATGTTCTTAATAGATATAGGGAAATATATCATTAAATTGAAAAAATGATTATCACAGTGTTTCTAGCTAGCATCAGCCAACATTTTCAACTTTCAAGTTTGTGGGAAAACAAAAAATAAAAACAACTCAGAAAACAGCAATCCTATAGGGGACAGTATATCATTCCCTGTAGTTGCCATGTTATCTGCAGGTATTTCATAGATCACAAAAGAAATATTGAGCCAATTAAATACCAAGTATCAGTTTCAATAAATGTGCTCATAGCACTGCATCATTGACAACTGTGATTTTTTTTTTCTGTATGAGGGATTGAACTCATGACCTTGTGCTCTCCAGGCAGCTCCTTGTATCACTGAGCTCAATCCCCAGCCTCAACAACTTTAGATACTAAATATGACTATTAACAATGTTTAATTTGCCATTGACATATTTAGTATAAATTTTGTAAACCTACATTTTCACAAATGAAATTATTTTCTTTCCTTGCAGTTTAAATTACTTTTTTTTTTTAGGTACTAGGTATCAAAGTTAAAATCTACCACTATCCAGGCAGGCATTTCTTCCTGCTGAGCTAAATCCCTGGTGTGTATTAATGAATATTTCACTTTATTCATTCAAATAGTACTGTCATTTTAGCAAAGGTTTTCAATGTAGACAGAAATTGATATACAATCAGAGAGGAACTGGAACCTCAAATGGTCAATGCAAAAAACTAAATACAACAATCACTGCTACAGGCACAGCTGAAGAAAGCCAGACCTGAAAGTGAAGATGCAGTGACCATGTCTACATGCTCCTGAAAAGAAAAACAACAGCTTGAAATGTATTACAGTTACCACCACCTCCTCCAAGAAGTTCAGATAGGCATCAATTACCATACTCAATGACCAGAACAACTGGACTATTGTTCCCACAAAATGCCTTGGTTCTTTCCACATACCTTTTCTGGCTGACTTATTCCCCAGATGAATAATATTAGTTAAGCACCTACAAGCTTATAGATTGATTGTAGTTTGAGACCCACAGTTTGCCCACATTGTGACTATCCTGTATAAATGACCCCTGACAATATGACTGTGGCCAAAACACTGAAGATCACTCCTGAAAATTTAGAGCTATTCTCTGTTTTTTTCTAAGACAATTTTTGAACTTCTTTTGGTTTGTGACTTCATTTCTCAATGTTGTCAGCCATTAAATGGTGCATTTGATATCAAGCATGGCAGGATTATATTTCTCTTATCTCAATTTAAATATGAAATGTCTGCTAAAGGCATTGTTCCAAAGCCTGAATTTCAAGCTGTTTGCCCTGAGTTTAACATTTCCATGAGCTTTTAGAAGTCCTCCTTCTAGTGAACTGCAAATGTATTGGAGGAAGGAGGTCACTGCTGTGCTGTAGCACAATAGGTGCCATTCCTAAGCCTGTGTTTGTCACTGCCTCCTGAATGCCACTGCATGCCACTACCTGGCCTTCTTTCCTCTGCCAGCATCATTCAATAATTCCCATTTTACATAAGTCAAATTTCACTCAGCTCTATTTTTGTTTGTTTTCAATAGTCTTTCTGTCTACTTTGTTGTTGTTTTTTTCATTTTAGGTTTTTGATTTAAAGACATAGTCTCACTTTGGAGTTCTGGCCAGCCTTGCACTCACTATGCAGGTTAGGCTGTCACTGAATACAAGCCCATTCTCCTGTTTCAGCTTCTTCATTGTTTGGGAAAATAGGTGGGCATTATAGAACATGGTGTTTGTCTTTTTTCTCCTTTCTTTTTCACAATTATTCTTTCATTTGAGTGGCACTGTCATTTAATCCTGAGGTGTGCTTGTGTCAGTAAAGGTTTCTGCAGCTTGAGTTGAGTTTGTGAACAATAATATAGGAAGCCAATATAGGAAACCAATTGAGAAATGTGGAATTTCATAGCTGGTCTCAGGACCACCTGTATACAGAACCCCCACCCCCATATCAGGATCTAAACAAGAGGCTCTGAACTGGAAAGTTACAGATGTTTTAAAAGATAGAATCACAAAAGGATTCTGTTGGAAATCATTTAGCCAGAATCTTATAATAATGGTTGGATGACAACTGTATTCTGCTTCTTTTGTTGAGCAGGTTAATTTTTTTCTTTGGGTATAGCTCATTTTGCTTTTCTCCTGGGACTTCAACACTGAGTAATTTTCCATTTTTCTGGGTGAAATACAGGGCACTAGTTAAGTGCAAAGCTCAAGATGGCATCTATTAAGCCAACCTACAACACAGCTAAGTTACAAGTTTCAATATTTTCTAGGGTAAAAACACACATATGTATAATCTGAACACTCAAGAGGCTGAGGCAGGAGTGCTGCTTTGAGGTTAGGGCAATTCTGTTCTCCATATAGGGTTCAAATCTAGCTGATATACATAGAGAAAACTTGTCTCAATAAAACAAATCTAAACTAAACAAATAAAACCAAACAAAACAGCTGAATAGAGACTGATTTCTTCAAATCTTAATTCCACATCTTGGGGATTAATTTTTGGTATATACACATTTTTTGAGACAGCAAATTTAATGCTCTATTGCAACTCACAGCTAACGTAACAGCCAAATAGGAGCACTGATTCTTATGCTGAGTCACTGCAAGAGCCCCTGTGCACTGTCTCTAAAGCAGAGCTCATAGTGAGAGCCTGCAGGACCAGCATCCATAAATCAAAGAGGCAGACAAATATCACATGAATCACTTTGATGTACTAACAATGATATCTCTTCAAATCTCATTTAGGCCACTGTGTCCTTTGTTCTTAATATACTTAAGCAGCATTTTGATATTTAAATTTGGTTTCATAGAACAAAACATAACATCAAATATGATACATAAATAATAACTCAAATGTTCATGGAAAACTGTTGTATGTAAAAAATGTATAAACAATGAAACCAGGTACAAGTTTCAAATTAGAGCTCAGTGTCACAAAGTGATCACTCTCCATTCAGATATAAGAAATATATCTTGGGAGGCTGATGCAGGAGAACTTCCTTGAGTTTGGGGCTAGCCTAATTTACAGAGCTGTCTGAAATAGAGAAACCCTGACTAAGACACCCCACAGACAATGTGAAACTTGAAAAGTGACTGCATAGGAAATCTTTGGTTTGCTTTAAAAATTATATCCATATAATATAGAAAAATTCCACAATATTCAACATTTTCTGAGGAACAATGTTGATATCATACATAGTATACAGAATACAATTTCAAAGCTGGGTATTTAGCTCAGCAGCATGAACACCTACCTAGCAAGCTTGAGATTATGAGTTCGATCTCTGTTACAAAAAAATTTCAAATTTCACCTTCATGACACTGGATCATAATTAGAGATAATCAAAATTAGATCTCAAGAGAAGAACACAGAATTCATGGGTTGACAAGGATGTGGAATACTGATTCGTACCAGAGCGGGTGTTTTTCACCTCAAAGAAGAAATCAGAAGACAACTCTAACGTCATGCTTACCCTAAGAACTACCTGACTTTCATGGAAGACCCTCTCTGTTGTATGTCCTGCTATTGGCACACTGTGTCCTGCCAGTCACTTCCACATCCTTTCCATGCTCCTCTGATCCACCCTAAGCAGAAAACACTTCACAACTAAGCTATTGATAGCCCTGCACAATTTCAATTTATGGCATCTCCTTTACACCACTTAGTAAAGTCCACTGCAGAGCATTTCCATGTTTAAACAATGTATATGATCAACCAATCTATTAAATCACCTCTTAATTCAGAGATGACACCCATATTCCTTTCCATTCAGAAGGATATCACGCATATATGTTCATGCAAATGACTAAATTTAGGCATTTTTCAAAGAGAATTTAACAGGCAGCCCTTTCTGGAATTTGTCCTTAGCAAACACACTTTACTCTGCCCTTGATGACACATTTATATCTGCTTCATTCTTCTCAAAATTTAAACCACTATGGCTGTTCTCCCAAACATCATCTATGAGCACCTGTGTCACATAAA